CCTACATATATATATATATATATATATATATATATATATATATATATATATATTTGTTGTTGTTGTTCGAGATAAGGTTTCTCTGTGTAACAGTCCTAGATGTCCTGGAACTAGCTGTTGTAGGCCAGGCTGGCCTTGAACTCACAGAGATCTGCCTGACTCTGCCTCTCGAGTGGTGGGATTAAAGATGTGTGCCACCACCGCCGCCCAGTTAAGTTACATATATTTTTATAGTGAGCACTATTCTACAGTGGTGACGCTAATGATAGATTCTGTCCGTTGATATTGACCTGTGCAGGGAATGTTCCAGATACTGGAAAAATAGTCACAGAGAAGGTAATGACCCTGAGTCTCAGAGCTGTGTAATGGGTTCTTAGAGGGTGACAAACCAACCTTAAAGAAAAACTGTGAGGCAGTTGACAGAAAGGAGAGTTGGAGTCAGGGCCGGGGGGCTAAGAAGGGTTCTAAGTTGAGGGCTTTGAGCAGGGACCTGGTGCCAGGTCAGGGGTCCCTTTGGAAAGTCACCATTAAGAGTCTGTCTTTAGTCTTGGTGTGATGTAAGTCATAGCAAGGTTGGAACGTGAGCCTAGACATGAGTCCCAAGCCCCAAGATGTGTGTAGCATCTCCTAGAAGTCCTTCCATCTGTGAGAGAGGGCAGAAGGCAGCGGCAGACCCAGGAACGGGCATCTCAGCTCCCACCACAGAGCTGCCCCTGGGACTCACCTTCCACGGTCAGCTCCACTGTCACCTGGCGGGCACCACTGCCGTTGCTGGCTTCACAGGTATACTTTCCGTTGTCCTCCTCACGGGCAGGGTGAATTACAAGACTGAAAGTCCCCCGTACTCCATAGTCCAGCAGGAAGCGGCCCCCATGGGTGATGGTTTGCCCATTTCTGTGCCATGTCACCTGCGGCTCTGGGTAGCCCCGGACCTGCAAGAAAAAGTAACCGTAAGGGCTTCTGTTTCACACAGGCTCACTATGTGTCCTAGAGTTCAGAGTTCACGGTTCCTATGCATTATATGCTGGCTTGCAAGAACAGAAAGGAAGGAAGGAAGGAAGGAAGGAAGGAAGGAAGGAAGGAAGGAAGGAAGGAAAGAAGAGAGGGAGGGAGGGAGGGAGGGAGGGAGAGAGGGAGGGAGAGAGGGATGAAGGAAGGAAGGGAAAAGAGATAAAAGAAAGATCTCAATAGTTTGATCACTGTGACACACATTTGTAATTGCAGCACTTGGGAGGGACATGCAGGAAGATCTGGAGTTCAAGGTGATTCCCAACCACACAGGAAGCTCAACCTTGGGCTGTGTAAGACCCTATGTGAATCCCTCTCTATCAAAAACATACAAACAAAAAGCCCCCCAAATACCAAAACCCCTAATATTAAAATATATTGAGTGCATGCTGAGAAAGTCATATATTTTATGTCTTGGCAATAAATCATTAAGATGAATTCCAACCTGCTTCTCTCTGCAGTTTTCTTGTAGTTACCATGTAACACGAATAATAGAAACCTAGAGACAGATACTGGGGTTGGGGTTCAACCTGAAGATCAGAGAAGCAAAGCCATTAGAGAGATTTTTCCTCCATTAAATCGTCAGACTGAAAGAGAGCAATTCCTGTCTTATAGCTTGGATTAAAGGTGTGCAGCACCACCTCCTGGCCTCTACGGCTAACTAGTGTGGCTGCTGGGATTAAAGGTGTGTGCCACCACTGCCAGGCCTGTATGGCTGACTAGCGTGGCTGCTGGGATTAAAGGTGTGGCCACCACTGCCAGGCCTGTATGGTTGACTAGTGTGGCTGCTGGGATTAAAGGTGTGGCCACCACTGCCAGGCCTGTATGGCTGACTAGTGTGGTTGCTTTGTACTGACCTCCAGGCAGGCTTTATTTATTAAAATACAAATGAAATCTCACCACACTCCTGGGAGAGATGGCCCTCACACGCCTCCCTTGGCAGTCTCAGGATGGTCTGCATCAGCTCTCTGCCTCTGGCAATAGTTACAACCGTCCGTGAGTGCTACGTGGTCAGTGCTTTCCCAAGTACCTGACCCACCCGAGCCTCAGAGTCCCTTATTCAGAAAGCACAACTCTCAAAACAGGGAGAAATGAGAAGATAAACTCCCATCTAAGAATTATCTTTGTGAGGTTGGAAAGACGGCCCAGCAGTTAAAAGCATGTGTTGCTCTTACAGAAGACACAGATTTGGTGAGGAGGTCTCGCCTTTGTCAGAAAGCTCTCACCCACCTGGAACTCCAGCTTCAGGGGATCCGAGGCCCCCTTCTTTTTTTTTATGTGATATGTTTTATTTTTTTATTATTAATAATTTAAAAAAATTTCCACTTTCTCCCCTCCTCCCAATACCCTCCCACTCCCCCCACTCCCTCTCCTCCTCCCTCTTCAGTCCTAAGAGCAGTCAGGGTTTCCTGCCCTGTGGGAAGTTCAAGTTCCTCCCCCCTCCCTCCAGGCCTAGGAAGGTGAGCATCCAAACAGACTAGGATTCCAAAAAGCCAGTGCATGCAGAGGAAAAGCAGTCCCAGTGCCATTATCAATGGCTTCTCAGACAGCCCCCATGTCAGCCACATTCAGAGAATCCTGTTTGATCACATGCTCATTCAGTCCCAGTCCAGCTGGCCTTGGTGAGTTCTCATTAGATCAGTCCCCTTGTATCAGTGGGTGATTGCCCCCTCGCGGTCCTGACTTCCTTGTTCATGTTCTCCCTCCTTCTGCTCCTCATTTGGACCTTGAGGGCTCAGTCCAGTGCTTCAATGTGGGTCTCTATCTCAATCTCCATCCATCGTCGGATGAAGGTTCCCTCTGATCCTGACTTCCTTGCTCACGTTCTCCCTCCTTCTGCTTCTCATTTGGACCTAGGGAGTTAAGTCCTGTGTTCCAATGTGTGTCTCCATCTCCATCTCCATCTATCGCCAGATGAAGGTTCTATGGTGATAGGCAAAATATTCATCAGTATGGTTATGGGCCAAGGCCAGTTCAGGCACCCTCTCCTCTGCTGCCCAGGGAACAATCTGGGGACCGAGGTCCCCTTCTTGACTCTTCAGGCAGCTGCACTCACACATGCATCTCTCTCTCTCTCTCTCTCTCTCTCTCTCTCTCTCTCTCTCTCTCACACACACACACACACACACACACACACTAAACTTTTTAAAAATTACTGACTCCAGATATGAAAATTCCGTTAAGTTCCCTTGAACACCTGAAATGCAATGCATCCCTCAGGCTTCTCTTCAGAGGAGCAGTGCTTGCCCAGTTCACCCTGCTCAGCGAGGACCTAGAACTGGGCAACTCTGCAGTGGGAATGCACAGAGACCGTGTGGAAGGCCCCCAGGAAGGAAGCTGCTGTTGTCACAAACATCGCAGGGACAGATTTTATCCATGCAGTCATTCCAAGGCAAGAAAGAATGGCTGCAGGTGAAATGGAACCAAAATTTGCAGTATGACCCCTTCTACCCCTCCCACTCCCCCACTCTGTAGCTTCCCCGCCTCCTTACAAGGTCAGGTAGTGATGCTATATTGGCATGATGGGTAACATCTGCTAGCTCCTAGGCACCCACACACAGTTCCTTCCCTAAGTGTGCTAGAGGAGCGGAGCTCTGTTGCTGCAACGATAGTTGTCATTCTTTTGATGCTGGGGAATCCGCCCCAACCTCACAGCTGCTCTAGGCTAACTTCGAGTTCCTCTGTTCCCACCATCTTCAGACCCAAGCCTGAGTATCTAGGATATGGACTTTTGTTCCTAAGGAAGCACTGACTCCCAGTTAAAAAGCCCAAAGCCAACAATCCTTCTTTGATTAATTCATATAATCAACCCTTCAGCAGGAGTTTATAAATCTTATATGACCAGGCCTCCAGCTTCAATGAAAAGAAAGAAAGAAAGAAAGAAAGAAAGAAAGAAAGAAAGGAAGGAAGGAAGGAAGGAAGAAAGGAGAAAAGAAGAGAGGGAGTGAAGAAAAATATAGAAAGAAAGAAAAAACCCAAACTCAAAATCAATATTATTCGTCTTATTTACAATTCCCACAAACAAAAAGCTCCTTCCTATAAAAATCTAAATTGTACTCTTGACAGAGATAGATGACCCATGAGGAAATGCTCCAGTTTTTAAGTTGTCTCCTTCAAAACTTGTCAGCAATGCCTGAGGATGTCATGGCCTCACCACAACTATTTCCCACCTTAGATGTGGGACGGTGACCACATCCACCTGGGTATATGAACCCTCACCACTGCTACTCAAAGTCACAGGTGACAGTGCAGGTCCCTGGGTGAGTACGGCTATGGAAATCTCTCCTTTTCCTTTTAGTTAACTGTCTACCTGTGATATTTCTGCAAATGGCACACACTTAGTCTTTGTTAAACAGAAGAAAATATAAATGTGCTCCTTATATTCATGTATCTCTAATGGATTATAGTCACTCATTCATTTGTTAAAATAAAAGAAGTATACAAATAACCATTATGTGTGTTTGAAGGTGGCCCACATTGTGATCCCATATAAAATCATCATCATATGGCCTTGATCTTGTCACTCATATGAAGGAACATTCGGATAGCAAGTATTCTAATAAAACAGTCTCCTATGTTTTCAGAGAGCAAGCAATGAGACCCTGGGAAGGCTGGTCACACGTGGATTACAAGTCATGGTTGTCTTCTCCTGAAGTCTGTTAGGTAGGGTTAGCCCACTCTCCTGAAGACGATCCCGGGGCCTGTTGACTTCAGAGCACAGGGGCTCAGCTCTGCAACCAGGAGCAGATGAATCATTAACAGCACCTACAGCTTCCAAGCATTCCAGCAGTGTGCACGCTGGCCCCCTGCAGCAGGCCGCTGGGGGCATCAATGATTAACTGGGAACATTGAGAGCGTTCCAGACCTCAGGGACATGATCCCTTGACCCCTTTCTCTTTTCTCCTCATTTTCTTGTTCCAGAGTTACCTCTGAAATGCCGTATTAAAATAATTATTGAAAGATTCCTGAATATGGCATGATTTCATAAGACAGTTAAGTGTGAAAACAAGACTTCCATAGCTCCTGGATCTAGAGCAAAGGCAGGGACTTTGTGACCTTGCTCAGTTCTGATCTGATCTGCCATGTGAATGGATACAGGTCCTGCCGCCGGGAAAGAAGCTCAGCACGCCCTAATATCAGTCAAAACTGTTCAGTTTCAGGACGTCCCTTTTATTACTCACTGTCTGTCCTCTATGCTGGATCCAAATAGGGAAGATGGGAAGTCTTGGTTCACATTCTTGGGGTGCATTCATGGCTTTCAGTTAAAAAGCTTCAGTTGGGAGTTGTATGGCTGGGATCTTTCAGAGGCTGGTGAAAGCCCATAGATGTCTAGTTCTCAGAGAACCTCTGCACAGACCCCCCCTTGACTCATGGCACTGTGAGGGAGGATCTTAGGTCGGGCTGCTGTCATAGAACGCTATCCTCCGTGCCTCACAGTCATCGTCTTCATTGGAACAGCTGCAAGAAACTTCAAGAGAACCCTGGGTCTGGCTTATTCACTGATGGTGTTCCCTCACAGAAAGAGAAAGTGGAAAGGGTCACTGGACCCTCATAACTGCCCCTTACTGAGCCTCCAAGCAATCTGTATGTAATTCTGCCCTAACTGTGCATGACCGTGCACTCTTGAGAGTAGACAGATTGTCAAAGGTTAATTGAAGGGGATTCCATCTGTGCGACTTTAGGCTAGTCTTCATAGTCTTCATCCATACTGGGGAGAGACTTTGTGATGGCGGAATTGCTTTAGGATCACGGATGCTCCTGTAAGCAACCCTTCACCCATGCTCTGCGAGTAAACCAATAAACTCCCTGATTCCCCAAGTTGGGCTTTTGTGGAATCCTACTTTGGCCTGTTGTTGGTGTCCTGTAAGGAAAGGGGCAGACACTGGTTTATGTCTTCCCAGGGAAAGAGCTGCCTCAGCAGCTA